ACAATAGTTTATTCATGAAACTTTTTTTGTTCATAAGTTTTTTATAAACAATGAGCGACGGATAAAACCTTCATATTATTATTCAGGGAGGTGACCTTGATAACATATGTCAAAATTGTTGAGATCGGAAAATAGTCCGTATAACTGCATAATTACCAAAGATAAACTACACTCCGTGTGAGTGTTTAAAAAACTTCGTTCGGTATTTTGTTTATTTTTTCTCAAAGAACTTCGTAACATATAATTTCGGAGACGTTGTCCTTGTGTTTCGACAAGAACGCGCAATTGTCAAAATCCGAGTTTTTAAAAGGTTTCAGCCATTGTTCTATCGAAATGTCCATGTTCAGAGTCTTGAAAACTGTTTCAACGGATGGACGAGTAACAAGCAGCGTTCCTGATTTTACAGTAGCTATTAGATACTTCCATATATCTATTTGCACACTGTCGGGTAAATAAAATTCAAACGCGTTGTTAATGATAATAACGTCACTTTGCTTGACTATATCTGGAACTTGTTCTATTCTTTTATGTACAACAGATACACGGTCGTTCATTTTAAATTTGCGAATGACATCGTTTTGTAGATTGCACAATTCCTCGTTCATCTCGACGCCAATAATTTTCTCAGCATTTGTGAAGACGTACGCCTGACGCAAATAAAAATTTTTGAAGAATTAGCATCCATATTAGGGAATACATAAATAAAAATTTATATTTATTGTTTTTAAACTAGATATATATATATATTATGTAAATGTAGAAAATATTTGTATACAAGATATGGATGTGGTAATCTGTTTGTACAGAGTAGGCGCGCGTGCACATGTGTGTACATATATATATTAATAAACTTTCTCAATCGATATCTCACCCCGTAAAGAACCGCACCTATTCTGGATCCTATATCGAGTATAGTTTTGTTCCTCAAAGATGTATTCAATAGTGTGTTAAATATATAAAGCAATCCGTCGAGACACATTGAGTGAGAAATAAAAACTAAAAGAATAATTAATATTACAATTAATGCAAAAATAATTGCAAAGAGAAAACATGGGATAATTATTTTTTTTTTTACTTAAAATTTCACTCACTCAGCGGACGTATATTTTTAGATCCACAGTCAAGACAATAGTGTGTTTGTAACTGATCATTGTCTACAAGTTTGTCTATGTCCTCATCCGGGTAAAGGAACTCATCAACATGTAATGTTCTATTGAGATCACAGTCTGAATTCTAAAAAAAGAAGACACTTGTATTTCTATTCGCACAACACTCTGTGTGTGTGTGTGTTTATCTGACAGCCATTTGTGACAAAACCATACCTCTCCTGTAGAAGGTGTTATAATATTTTCAGAAGACAATATGCCACTGAATGGAACTTTCTGTTTAATATAATAAACAATAGAATCTAACATTTGAAATGAATCCTCTCTAACATAATCCTCTCTCCAAACAGAGTCTCTTGTGTCACTTCTCACATCTTTTGTGTCATTTCCTGTTAAATAATAAATTTTGTTTCTAAATAGCAAATCGGTGTGTAATTTTACTTGTATTACTTAGGTGTGATTTAAAATGTAATGCAAACCTGTATCACTTGGAACTCCAAGTACAGACTCTGGTTTCCATTCTTTTGCAATAAATGCTAAAAACTTGTGATGATCAGTTTTGCTTATCGATTGCATTAGTTTGACAAAACTCTGTTTTGCTTCGTTCAAGTCAATGGACACTTTACAATCCATTGTTTTTCTTTCTTTTTTTTATATATATATTTGTTGCAAAAGACAAAGAATCTATGTGTTTTTGGCCACCTGCACTGTAATTTACAGCTATGATGCACATGTCATATTAATCAATCTCTACATCTCTGACTTTATTCTTAACCTAACCTAACCTATATTACCTCCTCCTTTAATTTCTCCTTACCTTAATTTTCTAATCAAAACGACAAACTTTAAATTGTTCTTACACAATCAGTTTTCCATATTATAAAGAACTAGTTCGTTTTAATAAAACTATGCTATAATAACTTCAATTAGATTCTTTCTTTGGTAACCTTATTTAGGGTTATAGCAGACATATGTCTGTTCCTTTACTCTGCACTGAACTGTGATTCGACAGGCAAGGGTAACTACATTACTTCACACAATGCATTCTATTTTTTATGATTTAAAAACTAACGAGTACAGGTTTTCTTCAACAAACACTGTTTGAGGATTACCTTAGATACATAGTTTCTTTATTGAATATTCTGATCAAAATTTATATTACATAATATACAGTTTTGACATAAAATAGAAATTTTTAACATTGTTGCAGTTGGTAAATTGTTGCACTGTAACTAAGCCCCAATTGATACCATTAATTCTACAGATGAAATAAGATACTTAAATAATAAATATCATAAAACTTTATTTCTATACAAGTACTAGCTCACATAGAACAATTTTTAGTATTCAGGCGCCGGACTCTTAATGGTGCTATAATCTGTTTTTGGAGAATAGAACTGTAAAACAATTATACATATAAGTACTGTAGTTGCGTCTTCCTTTCAAGAATATGTTATTTATATAATTCTATCTACATGTATGTGTGTGTAGAGAAAACTAAGAGGACAAACTGCAACAAGAACTTCTGATACCTTGTACTGTTTGTCTTTGTAATAATTCCATGGCTCAGCCTCCCTTTTGTTCGTCCAGGACACGTCCGGATTGCGAGTTGCCAAACGCATAACGTAAAAAGCCATCCAACATCCTCCCAATCCGATACACACGTACAGTGGAATCAACTGAAATGACCAGAATTGATTTCCTGTCTCGTAAATTATGTTAAAAGTATTCAATACTCACAGCTGGATGCTTTTTCAAATCGCCAGGCCTGAGTCCTTGCATTCTTTTAGCGTTTTTAAATTATACTTCGTATACTCCTACGTTATCTTGAGCACTTCAAAGTCGCGAATAAATTCCATGAATTACTCAATAATACAAGTTATACACACACAATATCTTCAGCTAGACTGCGGTCCGTTTCAAGCATAATCGCGCATTTATCTGTAGTATATGTCACGTATACTATAGATAAAAACGTGCGCTTAAGCATGAAACGAACCGCAGCTCTAATATCAGACCTTAATGACTACTGTTTCTGATTGGCTGAGGATAGTATTACGACAAAGATTTTAAGTATATTGATTGGCTATCAAATAGAGTTCTTTATATAAAACTCTATTTGATAACCAATCAACATACTTCAATTGTCGTGCGACAAATGTAATATTAGGCTGATACTTTTAAACAAAACTTATATATACTGCGATCGATTTGAGAAAAGAACTTTCCTGCGCATAAAAACAAACATGCAAGTAAAGATAGCGTTGCGTGAAAGATTAGCGGGACACTTATTGACAGCCAATGGCTGTGAAATAAGAAAACTTTCTAATAGAGAAGATGCACGAAAAAGACGAATTTATCCAATTTCTTTTCTCGAATTAAATGCAGTATATACATTTAAGTACATGTATACATAAAAAAATTAAATTGCTTTTACATATAACGCAACTTGTAACTATTTTGTGTGTGCCATATTTTTTAACCACACCAGAAACAGTATCTATTACTGTAACTGACAGTCCGCAGTCTGTGCAAAGTGGGACGGAAAAATATGCACACTGTTGTATACTAAGCGTCCTATTTTAAATGTCTGACTCTACTCGGATATTACTACTAACGTAGAATATTTTGAAGCAAGTAGTTTGAACCAACGTCTAGCCAGACATATAAAAATTCTCTGGAATCTTTCCTGAGACCCGTAGTTTTCGAATGTCTGACTCTACTCGAATATTACTACTAGCGTAAAATATTTTGAAGCAAGTAG